TTATGTATCCCTTCAGTGTCATATTTGGAAATGTGCTTTTGTGTGTATGTATTTGTGTGTGTATGTGTGACAGAGAACAAACAAACGTGTGAAATCTTCACGCCTCTTAAGCCCACGTAAACCCGATTAGGAAAACGTATCCCATTATCAATTTTGCCTTAGTTTATTTCTGCTACATTCAACATGGAGTCAACACTATCATTAAGAAGAAGTATCAGACAGCAACCTATAATTGATCATAAGCCCTGGTCCTTGAAACAAGGCGTTCTAAAAGTGATATCGATCCATTGTAACAAGCACATTTTACTAAGAATATAGCTAGTTTTACTCACTCAGGCAAAGTTGAAGTGGTGCAAACTGCTTGCAATAAAACCTTGGTACTTTAATGCCAGCTGAATGAATATCAATTATACTCATGCGCTTGAACATTATGAATACGTCTGGGATTATTGGTTTAGACGGAAGCTGGTAGAGCGTCCGACTGGTTATCCAGAGGTAGCGGATTTGATAACCACTCAAGCCAGCAACTTTCTGCCCTTTCGATGTGTTCTTTAGAAAGGCACTTAGCTCCAAATTCCAATAAAAATATAATAATAATAATAATAATAATAATAATAATAATAATAATAATAATAATAATAATAATAATAATAATGATGATGATGATAAAAATAATAATAATAATAATAATAATAATAATAATAATAATAATAATAATAATAATAATAATAATAATAATAATAATAATGTGTTGATAGTGACTTTAGAATCCAACAAAGCAGCAAACATTGTTGGGTTGTCTCAGATTTGAATATAGCAGTCATACTTTGCAGTCATTACGCAGTCAGGTCTTGAAGTGACCGAAAAACTCAGATCGATGACGCTCTACCCCCCCATCGTTTCCCACAACACATCTCACCACGTGGAAAATCTTATTTCAAACGCTGTTATTACACTCACTGCTAGTTTCCATACTAATTTGAAGGCAGTAACTCATGCGTAAACATACAAAAGGTACTCTAAACGTTGACATATAGGAGAATATCTTAAGTTTATACTGTGCTTACTTGCCTATCTCCTATATGGTGTTATCTTGTCTGATTGGCACCCGTCAGTGCCATGCTAGCAGAGTGACACCTTTCAATGCCATGTTAGCCGATTGGTACCCTTCAGATCCATGCTATCCGATTGGCGTTATTCAATGCCATACAAACCAACTGGCAACCATCAATGCCGTGCTAGATTTTTGGGCCCTCTAGCTAATCAGGAAGATGTACCCGTAAATAGCTCACAAATCTGATTATGGAACTTTACTCAGAATAATGTGAATGCAAATAAGCAAAATAAAGGACATCGCTGTAATCAGTGATCATTCGTCAGAGATCAGTACCAGATATTTCTCAAAATGCCTTATTATCCACTATGGAAAACGTCAACAAAAATTTAAAAATCACCTTGATTGTAAATCACGCTAGATATAAGGCTGGAATAACTGTAGAATGCCCAAAAAGTAAATTATGCAGAAGTATTTTTATATAGTATTAAATCCATCATTCATATTCATAAAATGTAAATTTTCTTGTGTCTTGGGCTTTTTTTTAACAACCCATGTGTGTTGATATATATATATATATATATATATATATATATATATATATATATATATGAAATTTGATTTGTCCCTTGACGCGGTGTACATTATTCTTCTAGTATCCATTTAATTTTAAAATAAGAAAAAGTTTTATTGTAGTAACTTAATGCAGATATCTTGCTTCAGTGTATGGCATACACTATAGCTAACAATCGTGAACGAAAAATGTTTTGATAAGACATTTTCATGCATTTTGACTCCTTTGGCAACATTAAAGGAATATCACTGGTCACAATATTATCTTCTTGACGCCTATCGATAAAATTTACATTGATTTGTAATGCAGTTGACTTACTGAAAAATGCTTCACCTTCATGATACTGAATTGATAATATCTGTACCCATTACGTTGCGTAAGAAGAATAACATAAAATGTTTATAATAAGAGGCCTACGCAACGTTGATCAAATTATCATATAAACGCACAGCTACTAAACAGTTAAAGTAACGTGATGTAGGAATATATACATATTCTGTTTATGGAGGTCATTGTTGTAATAGTTAGTGGGAATGAATGTGTGTTGTGGAAATTAGTGGGAATGTATTTGTCTTGTGGAGATTATTGAGAATGTATGTCCGTTGTGGAGATTAGTTAAATGCTTCGGTGTTGTTAAACTTAGATGGAACTCATGTGTGATATGGTGGTTAATGTGAATATATGTTTGTTGTGGAGCTTAGATGGAATGCATGTGTGTTGTGGAGCTTAGATGGAATACATGTGTGTTGTGGAGCTTAGATGGAATGCATGTGTGTTGTGGAGCTTAGATGGAATGCAGGTGTGTTGTGGAGATTAGTCTGAATGCTTGTGTGTTCTGGTGATTGGTGTGAATATATGTGTGTGAAGAGATTAGTGAAAATACACGTGTGTTGTTGAGATTAGTGTGAATGCATATTTGTTGGATTGTGGAGATTATTAAAATGCATGTGTTTGTAGAGATGAATCGAAATGTATGTGTGTTGTAAAGATTAGAGTGATGGCATGTGTTGTGGAGATTAATGGGAGTGCATGTGTGTTGTGGAGATTAATGTGAGTGCATGTGTGTTGTAGAGATTAATGTGAGTGCATGTGTGTTGTGGAGATTAATGGGAGTGCATGGTTGTTGTGGAGATTAATGGGAGTGCATGTGTGTTGTGGAGATTAATGGGAATTCATGGGCATTGTTGAAGTTTGTTGTCGTAATTATTTGTTGAGCTTTGTATACTTCTACAAATTCTATAACATTGTGTAATATATCAATCCATCAGAGGAAATATTCATCACACACTTTGATCTTACTATAGGTTAGGATTTGATTTTGCAAATAAAGTATGACATTATAAAAATGTATGATATTAGAAATAAAGTATGACATTAGAAATAACACCATGATATTATGAATACAGTATGACACCAGAAATGAAGAATAACATCATAAACAAAGAATGATGTTAGCAAAATAAAGATTGATAGATATAAAATATGACATAAATTAATTATAACGTTACAAATAAAGTATGACATGAGAAATCAAGTATGACATTAGAAATAAAGTATGATATTGGGAATGAAGTAGATTAGAAATAATGTTTGATATTTGAAATAAAGTGTGATTAACCTTAGAAAAGTCAATATAAACTAGTAATTAAATGGCTTACAGTCACACACAAGCGCTTTTTGTTATTTGCCAAGACAAATTTGCACTATTGAAGTGTTTGGGTTTGTTTTTGAGGTTTGAGTACATGTTATTGATGTAGATTGATTTGAAACTTCTGAAAGACTCTTTCTTCACCGAAGAGTTTCTCCTTCAGTTTAGTTTGCAAAAGAGAATCGTGAAAATCAATCTTTAAATGTAAGCGTTTTGATCCGATAAAATAAAAATATGACAGAAAACTGATGTATCATTATCTGAAAATACAAGAAGAGAAAACACGCGACAATTTACGTCTAAATATACTTCTTACTATTCAACATCTTTTGCATTGCTAGCAATTGAAAGGTTTCAAGCAAATGAAGGGTCTCATAATACCAATTAAATATCGAGAATGGTGAAGATGTTGAAAACGAATGGCACGAAAGGAAAACTGAACTGTGTGAATAATGATGTCGAAGATGAATACCAATTAGACCTAATGTCTCCTCTTTACATCACTCTCATAAAAGTTTAAATTCACCCTTGTTATTGGCAGAAACTATGTGTTTATACAAACTATTGCAATTAGTTAATATGAAGATTCAAAAATGAAAGAAACAACATCGGTTAAAATGTGTACTGGTAGCAGCCATAAAGGACGTTTATCTAATATTATAATTACAAGTTTTATTTCCTAAAATGTCAGAATATATTTTTTATATGTCGGAAGATGCTGAGATCTCCCACCGGTAATTAAATATTATATTTCCTTTGTTGTTGTTGTTGTTGTTGTTGTTGTTGTTGTTGTTGTTGTTGTTATAGGGTTTAACGACATTTTCAGCACAAGATAGGCTATACAAGGCGGCCAGTATTAATGGTGGAGGAAGAACCCTGGAAAACCCCGGGAAGAACCACCGACCCAAGAGAAGCTACTGACAGGTACCCTTTCTTACTCACGTTAGTGTGGACTCGAATTCACGCAGACGGAGGTGAGATGGCAGTGATCCGTAACGGTCAGCGCTTTAGACCATAAGACCACTTGGGGCCCCTATATTTTCATTGTGATTACGCCTATTATTGTCAATTCTGGCGCCCGTGAATTTAACTGCTCGGGTAATGTTACAGATGGAAAATAATTCTATTCACATAATTATAGGAAGCAAAATGAAAATTAGTAAATATTTTTTCCTGATAATTATTACTTATTCTAATAATTTTGTCTTATGCGTTATTGGATTGGTACAGATGCATATTCTTGCGGAAGGTTTATATTGGCAGTTGCCACAAAGCAAACATACGTATGCCATATTATATTTTGTTATATATTTAAGACATAAATAAGTTATTGCTCACAATGTTCGTTAAAATCCAACGCAAAATAGTTTCCTTAAGAGCACATTGTTTTCTTCCGTTTTTAAGCTGATAAGCCTGCTTATTACGCATCCTGCTTGAAAGAGAACATTAAAAATGGCGCCATATTTTTAAAAAAGTCTTGTATTAAGATGTGATTATGATTTTTAACGTAGCTTTAACAATTTTTCAGTCATATCGCTACGATGCTTGCAATGTGGCAGTTTATAGTAATGTCTAGCACTGGGGTATCATGCCGCAGACATGTAGCATGATGTCCCACCCAGTCATATTATCCTGACACCAGGCCTACCAGTCCTAACACTAACCCCATAATGCTGTGCGTTAAGCGAGGCAGCTGTTAGTACCATTTTTGTAAGTCTTTGGTATTACTCGACCGGGGATCGAACCCAAGAACCTCCGGCATCCGAGGCGGACGCTCTAACTACTAGCCCACCGGAGTGGTTAGTCTTGTATTAAATAGCTGGTAATGCTAGGATACATTTGGATACACTTCAATATAGGCAAACTTTAGATACTGGCCAAAAAGGTAATTATATGATAGCATTACGTCACATTTTATTTATTGCTATATTTTACAATTTTATATTTTACAATTTATAATATACAAAATACAATCAATTTTATTTAAATTTGTGCTCAGGACAATATCTTTGCCGAAGTGGAACGAAATGGAATATCTTGTGCCAGTTGGCGGATGAGCTTCTGTTATGAACTATTCATAACGACATGTATTCCTCATTCTTTGACTATACATTTCTTACCTTCCGAATCAATGAAGGTTGTCAGTACCGTAACTTTATGTGAGTGTTTATAATGCGTCGGCGATTGGCACAAGAAGGACATTGGCCCCTCTCACGCCTCAACGGATCTAGCGCGAGTCCTTCTGCTATCAAACGAGACGCTTGATGAAAACACACGGATCTAGCACAAACACACGTATCAAGTCACTACAATAATGATGTTATGATCATATAACCTAAACAAGTATATACAGCTACTAATAATGATAATAATACTAAAATAATCAAATTTTAAGGTCTTTTTTTAGTATCATTGCATCGACAGTCTCACCTTTGTACATCGAGTCTAAATATAGTATAGTTGCGAGATAGTTGAGAGCGAGGAATCTAAACAGTTATGAATCCAGACAAAATAAATATTAGCTTTTGTCATAAGTTGAATAAAGACTCATATAATTAGAATCACTAACTTCAATATCTAAACGTATTTTTGTTGAAACGACGGCTACTGTTTTGTAAAATTAGAACTCACCTGACTCTATCATCCAATGGAAATTAACCGAAATGTGAAGACAGATTCATTACCACAACCTTGTTATGAATCATTTGCAATCTACAGAAACGTGCCTAGAATGAAAACGCAATATATACATAACACCTCCACTCCTAAATGAAAATATTTAGGCAAAACCGCTTTCGTTTACATAATAGTGTGTGTGTGTGTGTGTGTGTGTGTGTGTGTGTGTGTGTGTGTGTGAGAGAGAGAGAGAGAGAGAGAGAGAGAGAGAGAGAGAGAGAGAGAGAGAGAGATGATAATGATAAAATTGCAGAAGATGCCTAATGAACGACACAAATTGTATTGAATATATTGCGATACGGAAATAATATACGTATAATATTGTATTTGCGATCCAATTGTCTTTTCCATTGCTGTGCCAAATTTTCGTTTTCACGTTGATGATGAAAGTAAGGTGGTTGTTATCACTTAATACAATAACTGGGGAAATAGCAGAATGAACACAAACTTTCAAAAGTGCTGCAAAGCGGATATCAAAGCCAATAACTCCTTCTCGATAGTAGACTAATATCTACGGTGCTTGCTTAATATTTTAGAAACATAGCACAAAGGATGATCCACGCTATCTTTGTCTTAATGATTTAACGCAAAACAATAACTGCATCAGAATGTTTACAAATTAGCTTTATGTTAAGGTATAATTGTTACAGCTCTATGGTTTCACACTAAGTAACAGGAAAGGTAAACAACAAAACAAAACAAGAGTAAAATTCCAGAAATAATTTATTTCCCAAGATTATAAAGTGAAATTTTAAAAGGAACTTACATTATTGTGAATTAAATCCCAAAAATTCTAAAATTTCTATCACAATTCCAAAATTACAGCATGTTTCGAATGCATACCAGGTCATAAATATCCTTGAATGAGCTGATGTGCCAATAGCCATGATATATCATAATGATATAACCCATAATGATTTTCAATAAATTCACGATGCATGCATGGAAATGTTTATATTCAAACTGTCAATGAAGATTATGTAATTCCATTGAATAAATTTTAAATACATGATTACTGTAAAATTATAACTGAGAATAATTCTACAGGCTTAACTAAAAGGACTAATGAATAATTTTTTGAAAACAACCTTGTATAAAAAAACAAGACTCAGTAAAATGACCAGCATGTTGGTTAAAATTTCTCTTCAAGAACATTTTAAATTTTGTAAACAAAACAAGACCTTGAACCTAAAATGTTAATACAAATTTAAATTGAAAGGATAAAAGTCATGTAAACAATTTATAGTCTACCCTCAACCACTGACAGTAGTCAAGAGCATAAAATGAATTAATTATACATAAGTCAGATATTAGTGAAAAATATAAACTTAACATGCTTTAATTAAAATAATGTCAACTAGGTGTGAGTAATAAAACAATGACCACTTACTGCGATTTAGTAGAAGTAATTAGGTTGATAGCAAAACGTAAAGACCACCTACCAAAGAAACGTTAGTAATGTGTGGCGGGTACTCTTGACTCTTGTTTAAATTGACAGTTTATTTATTCGTACACGAAAAGGCATGTAATTATCTTGAGTAGCTACACCTGTCCCTGAGCTCATTCAGTCTTGAATCTAATTGACTGATTTTGTTGTACGTGCGAGCAAACTATGGCCCGTAGCAAGTTTTCAACCTAATAAGTGTTTAGTATAATTATTTTGGGCTGTGTAAAAAGTTTCTCTCTTCAGTTATTGCTCTTGATGAAAACTGCTTCGTCGATGACGTAGGAAAATTCAGTATTATTACTAAAACAAAATATTTCTACTGCTCCTGCAGGTGTATTGTCTTTTATACACCGCTTGAAATAGAATAATGTGTGTTTGCTTATAATATTGAACTTTTCTCGTTCGTCGACCATAGTATTTCCTCTAGAGATGTATTGGTCTAATAACACTAGATTAGCACAGGAAATCGATAATGTTCTTTTCCTCTCTGATAGCAAGCTGAAGATAATAATTTTACAACAACAAAAACAACAACAGCGACATCATCGTTAATAATAATAATAATAATAATAATAATAATAATAATAATAATAATAATAATAATAATAATAATAATAATAATAATAATAAAAATAATATAAATAGGCTATTCAAGCTCATTAAAATGTCACAGAATATATACAAGCTGAAAACTCATATCTTATTGTAAGGAACTTTTAACACTGATTTCGAGAGAATTTATTTCTTGGCATTTGTATGCATTTTTTTCGAATGATAATTGAACTGTACTAAGTCATATCACTAATTCAGTATCAGTGTAATCACATATTACAGGCTGGAATATTCTGTACTTACATTAGTTTGTATTAGTACGAGGCTCAACGATGGTACACAATCGTATCATTTAATATTGCCGTATCAAGATGAAAGACAAACCAGGACCGTATATTTTCTCTCTTTTAACCATATTAGTTACAGGGTATTCCGTGTGAATTTTATATCACTTGACTAAATCTCATGTCATCTGCACGGAGAACTTGTGAGTGGACTACGCCCAAACGACAAGTCCACCCCACATAATAAATAGCACACTTACAAAATTACTTTAATTTATTATATTCTTAACTTAGTATTAATTACCAGATCTGAAAACATCGTCATACTGAAAACGTCAAAGGCTTAGACGAATATGTTGTTTCTTACTTTTTATACAAATTCAGTCATGATTTTGTTAATGACTAGCCTAAATATAATTTTGCAGTTTAAGTAAGGTTGCAATATCTTCGTGATTTCATAGCGTAAACACGTGATTGGTATACTTTTATAATAAGTACCTTTGTACACGCACTCATATTCAAACCACATCTAACAAAATTTTTGCTCAAATTATTATACCATTTTATCATTTCAAAGATGGAGAATATGATATCTTACCCGTTTAAAAATAGGAAAGGAGTTAAAGTCATAATACACGAATGTTAAATTTGGCTGACCATGTGACCAATCGATCTAGTGATATTAAAGCTGAAAGACTTCATAAGATTATGCGTTCTATAGTTTAAGTCTGTTGATTGCTTTAGAGAGAATCGGTTAGAAGGGTTATACACAACGTGTAGTATTATATAGATATTATATAGTATTATATAGAAATGATATAGAATAATAACAATAAAAACATAAACATACACTGAAAACATTCCTTTAGTCCATTGCTGCATTCAGGACATTCTCTTTATCCACGAACTCTACTCTAAAAATCATCTTCAGCAAACCACTGGTTTCAAAACATTCCATTCTGCCACTCACTGCACTCAACATACCCATTCAACCATCCACTGCACTCAAAACATTCCCTTCAGCCACACACTGTATTCAATATATCCTCCTGAAGCACCCAGTGTAACCAAATATCCCCTTTAAGCACCCAATGAAATCAAAACATCCTCTTCAAGCACCCAATGGAATCCAAACATCGCACTCAAGCACCCAGTGTAACCAAACATCCCCTTCAAGCACCCAGTGGACTCAAAACATCCCTTTCAAACACCCAGAGGACTCAAAACATCCCCTTCAAGCACCCAGTGGACTCAAAACATCCCCTTCAAGCACCCAGTGGACTCAAAACATCCCCTTCAAGCACCCAGTGGACTCAAAACATCCTTTTCAAGCACCCAGTGGACTCAAAACATCCCCTTCAAGCACCCAGTGGACTCAAAACATCCCCTTCAAACACCCCGTGAATTCAAAAATCCTCTTCAAGCACCCCGTGGACTCAAAACATCCCCTTCAAGCACCCCGTTTATTCAAAAATCCTCTTCAAACACCCCTTGGACTCAAAAGATATGATTATGTCAGGTACTAAAATAAGCAAGATCTACTCTAATAAAGAAACAATCGAAAAACGATCTAAAATTGTTTCAACACCTAGTCAAGCGGAACTCTAATAGAAGAATTACTGATGATGGCACAGAAAAAGCAAAAATGCTGTGCAAAACCAAGAAAAACTGTTGAAAAGACGGTCCTGATTCTCCACACAAATTCCCCATAGGTTATCGCAGTTTTTGAGCATCTATCTACCACTGAGTGTTCCAAAACATTAATAAATCTTTCTAAAAAAAATAAACCGGTCACGGCATACAACCAAATCAAATCACCTCAAACGTGTCCTCGTCAGGT